TGGCTGCCCTCAGGTGGGGGCATTTCTGTGGTCAGTTACCCTGGAAACCAGGGAGAGGACATTCCATAGTCCGGCAGGCATTACCTCGTGACTATCTTGTGACTCTGAACTTCTACACTTCCTTGTTTCTGGAATCCAAACTGACTGGTTTCAGTAACTAAGGGCCTATTCCCAAAAGGAGAAATCTTAGGCCTTAGTTTTTGGGTGAAAGCATTTTGGTCTTATTTCTAAGACGGCTCATTTTGGTCTCACACAACAACTTTACTCCTCTAAGACAAAATTCTATCAATACAGCTATAGCTCCATCAGGCATTTAGGACAAGAATAAATCTAGATACACCAGGTTCTTTATCTGTCTAGTTTATTTCTCTGGAATCAAATCCTGTGTAAATAGCTTCAGTTCTGTCTAGTTCCCTAGCTCAGAGTCCTGCTAACAACTAAACTCCTGTGCTTCCAGCCTCATCTTCATCCTCTATTTCCTCTTTCTCCATTTCCACTACTCTCTACTCCTGGCACTCAGAAAACTCTACCTGAGATCTGCTTACCCTCTACAGAACCTCTGTCTTCCTCTCTTCTCTCTCACCATGCCATTCTCTCTGCTCTACAGAAAATGCCTGCCTTTTTTTTTCAAGGCCACTCAGTTCTCTGCCTCCTTAGGAATGTTCCTCCTCCTTAACTTCCACCTTGATAAAAGAAACCTCTTTTGTTCTCAGTCAACTGCTCTGCAGAGCCACTAAGCCTTGAGGCAGGAGGATGGTCTGAGGTTCATTTGCACAAGAAACAAAGTTATGAGTCTCCAGCCAGCTTGTCTCCTGGGCTTAGCAGCAGAGTTAGTTACCTAGAAGTTCAGCAGGTCTAAAAATACTTGGACATGCAAGGATTTTACAGTAGAAGAAAGCTGAAATATTAAAGGTTGGATAGCACCAAATATTCATAGTAAGTGGCTTGCCTTTTGACAGACCCTTGACTGGTCAAAGTTTAGCTTTAATACACAGATGAATCTCTATGATACATTCGTGTGGCTGGCCACATTTGTGAATATTTTCTTGTATGTCATGGCTTATCTTATGAGTGTCTAAGTAGTTATTTCTAGTGTTGTGCCCAGATCGTGACCCCCAGAGAGACCACCAAAGACGAGCATGCCGGAATGCAAAAGCAAGGTTTAATTCTGGATACCCAAAAGCAATACAAGCCTAGGCAGGGACTTTGTCCAATACATCCAACACAGTGGAGGCTGGAGGAAGTGCCCACCTCTCTGCAAGCTCAATTTTTAAAGGCAAAAGTCAAAAGGTTACATCATTTAGTGGTGCTAGCATGGATACAATTCTGATTGGCTCGCTTCTAGGGACTTCTAGAAATTACTTCTAAGGGAGTGGTTGCCTGCCACCATTTCTCATTGGCTGCCTTCAGGGGGCATTTCTGTGGTCAGTTACCCTGGAAACCAGGGAGAGGACATTCTACAGTCCGGCAGGCATTACCTCGTGACTATCTTGTGACTCTGAACTTCTACACTTCCTTGTTTCTGGAATCCAAACTGACTGGTTTCAGTAACTAATGGCCTATTCCCCAAAGGAGAAATCTTAGGCCTTAGTTTTTGGGTGAAAGCATTTTGGTCTTATTTCTAAGATGGCTCATTTTGGTCTCACATTAGTAACTGTATTTTAAAACTCAATGAGACCCAAGTAAACATTTGTGAATTATTTTTCCTTATGTAGGACATTTTACAATGGTTTTAATTTTTTGAGAATTTCCTTTTTATAGCTCTTCAAAATTTTATAAAATATCTTTTATTATATTCACCTATTCCCAACTATTCTCTGCTATGTGTCCCTTCTACTACCAATTCAACTTTGTGTCCTCTATTATTTTCCTCCTCCTCCTCAAGATTAATGTGTGTGTGTGTGTGTGTATGTGTGTGTGTGTGTGTGTTTGTATGAGTGCTCTATCTGCATGTATGCCTGCATGCCAGAAGAGGACATTAGATCCCATTCCAGATTGCTATGAGCCAACTTGTGGTTGCTGGGAACTGAAATCAAGACCTCTGGAAGAGCAACCATTGCTCTTAACCTCTGAGTCATCTATCCAGCCCTCCTCCTCTCCTTCTCCTTCTCCTTCCCCTCCTCCTTCTTCTAACAACCTATGAAGTACAAGTTGTACTGTTTCTATATTCTTGCATGTGTGGTGTTACACTGGAGAGTGGCTGATTTACCAGGAGTGGACTCATAAAGAAAATGTTGTGCCCAGTTCATGACCCCCAGAGAGACCACTAAAGACAAGCATGCCAGAATGCAAAAGCAAGGTTTAATTTGGAATATCCAAAAGCAATACAAGCCTAGGCAGGGACTTCATCCAATACATCCAATACAGTGGAGGCTGGAGGAAGTGTTCACCTATCTGCAAGCTCAGTTTTTAAAGGGAAAAACCACAAGGTTACATCATTTAG